TATAAAAGATCCATTGAGAACTCATATATTCATAAGAACCCGAGAACTAAAGGTAGAACATTTGATCAAAATTAACTCATTAAGGGTATGATCGTCATCTTATGAATCTCATTTAATGTTTAATTTTTTATTTTATAAGAAATATTAATAAAAATATCAAAAAATTAACATAGTAAATCAAATTTTCAGATTTTTTTTTATAAAAATAATACTTTATAAAATTGAAAAAAAATGCAAAGTTTATAATTTTTTTAGAAAACATGAATATTTTAAAAGAAAATTGATTTTTTAAAAAGCTACAATTTTTTAAACGTAGTAAATTTTTAAAAATCAGTAGATTTTCTAAAAAACTGAAATATTTAAAAAAAATATTAATTTTTTAACCCAAAAAATCAACATTTCGGGTGCATATATGCATCTTTGTTCAATTGCATTTATACATATTACTTATACTATAATATTCGTAAGTAAATCGTAAAAAACATATTTTTATTTACTAATCTATAAACATAATAATACAAGTATTTTATTCGATACAAAATAAAATATAACAAATAAAAAATGCTATAAAATTTCAAAGCGTTTTCATTTATTCGTGTCAAGATTGTCATACTTTATCCGGTGTATCACTTTTCACCTCTTCAATATTTTCTAAAAATTCTTCAAAATCTAAAAGAAAATTAAAAAAAATTATTAATTCAAGAGCATTTTGGTTTTCGTTATAGTTTTTGTCCCCCGATATTAAAAGACCAAGTTACCTTTATTGTTTTCGATAAAATTGTAAAAATGATCCTCGTGGTTGTCAAAATTCTGTAATTTTGGTCCAAAACAAAATGTTAGTGTACCACTAGTTTAAAATTGGATATTTCTATTGTTTTTGGTCCCAATCAACATAAAAAGACTATTATACCCTTATATTTATTTTTCTGTTTTAACCTTTTTTATATTTATTCAAATGTTTTTCATTAATTAAAATTCAAATGTTTTTCATTAATTAAAATTGAGAAAAGGGTGTCTCTCTAACTCAAAGCGAGAGGGGACATGCTTCTTCACTCTTTCAATCAAACCCCCATCTTCACTCTTTCCTTTGATTTTGAAACCCATCGGATCTGTAATGTTTTTCCTCAAACACACACATACGCACATATCAGAAATTTGCCAGAAATTCATAACACACATACACACACCACTCCTCTGTCGAAGCTGCCGTCAGGGCTAGAGTTTGCAGAATGGATTCGGCCACCACCATAAATCTCGTATACCATCACCATTCTCCACTACCATCTGTCGCAGTTAGGAAACCCTAACCCTAAAAAATGAAAACCCTAGACCTAAAAAATGTAGATCGGAACCACCGAATTCGAGTTGGGTTTAGGTTTCAAGTTATACGAAGATGAAGCGGATATGGCACCCGATGAAGAAGAAGGAGAATGTTTTGCTTTTTTCTTCAGAGGGTAAATCGCGTTCCCGGGTATCGCTTGCATATCGTCTACAAACACAGAGGTTAAACCCGACGAGGGAGCAACGGCGCGGACGCTAGCTGAGCTGGCGTTCATAAATGAATCGTCAGCCATTGGTGGTCCAGTTGTGCGATTAAGCTCACAAATCATGGATTGAAGCCACGACGAGAGATCAGAAGGATTATAATGAACGGAATCGGAAGCAATTTGAGACAACCCATCATCGTTCCCCAAAACTCCTTCGAGATGTTCAATCTTCTAAGCAACATCAACCATATCAGACGACTTAACTTTGTATCCTAACACTGCCAACAGCTCATCAACGTCGGTATCTTGATCATCAAACTCATCCTACATGTTCTTCCCTTTTCCAGTCACATCAGAGGTAAAGTTGTTAAAGGCAGGTCCAGTTGTAGCCGAAGAAGTGTCGCCGCGGATAGAGGTGGAGGTGGAGGTAGAGTTAGGGCAGAATATTATAGTTTTTTGTGGGTGATTTGGTTTCATTTTTGATAGTTTGAATTGGGAATTGGGAAATTATGGGTAATGAAATTGTGAATGGAGGAAGAATCTAAGCATTGGTGGTTTTTTGACTAGTGAGAAAAACGTACACCAGAGTTGTAGAGAAAAAGGTGAAGATGATAGGTGGGAAGTATAAAAATGGTACATAATGCAAGTGTGAGTGTGAGAGAGAGAGAGAGAGTAAGGTGGTATTATTTTCTTTTTAGAGAGAGAGAGTAAGGTGGTATTATTTTCTTTTTATTTTTCAAAATAATAATAAAAAGTTAAAAATAAATAAAAAAAGAATTTTTAAAGGGCATATTCGTCATTTTAGGTTGGGTCTGGACTAAAAACACATAAAAATAAAAATGCCAACCATAGGGACCAAAACCATACAAGATATCTAAAATTGGACCAGTTGTGCAACAACATTCCGTTTTGGACCAAAACTACAGAATTTTGCCAACCACAAGTACCATTTTTGCAATTTTGTCTTGTTTTTCTTTTTCCTTCTTAATATTCCTAATTTATTAAAAAAAAATTACCCCTTCACTCGTAGCAAACCTTAATTTTATTGCTATCATCAATCGTCTCTAATACCCTTCAACACCATACCCCTCTTGTTGTCTGTCATTGTCATCGAATATAACACATGATGTTGGAGGGAAACACGTTTGTATGAACTTATCCTCTCTCGTGTGCTTAAACACATCATTGCTGGTTTCTATCTTTGAAGCTGCGGTGACATTCCGATGGCAACTCTTTCACTATTCATTTTTTTAAAATCTAAAATCTTATCATTTTTTTGCTGCATTCCCATTAAGCAACAAAAATGTGTAGTTTTGCTACCGAATTAGGTCATCGCCATTTGGAGGACATTGTATCATTGTTTGTTGAATTCGAATTGAAGTTGTTGTTTATTCTCCAATTTGTGGTAGTTTAATTAGATTAAACCAAAGGAAATAAATTTCGGATATCCAAATTTCCTATCAGAATCCAAATTTAAAACTTCTGTGTAAAGGTTTGTGTAGCAAAGTCCAGTATTCAAAATTTCACAAGTGACTAATTAAATTCCATTATATATATTTTTGTATTTATGATTATTGGAGTATAAGTCAAAATGATCATTGACTTTCTGTTAGAAAGCTTGCCACGTCATTATTGCCATGTCATGTACCCGAGTAGTTGTGTTAGTTAGTTTGTTACATGCTTCTTTTCCCTCCTGTTTATGTATATATTATTGGTTAAAGCCCGATCTTAATACACAGTCTTGCTTCCATTTAGTCTCTCTCTCTCTCTCTCACTGACCCTCTCTCTCTCTCTCTTTCTCTCTCAACAGTGAAAATGGTCGACGCTTTAGTTATTGCTGCCGATGGGTTACTGAAAAACGTGGTGTCTATAGCTGCCAACGAGATCGTCCTAGCTTGGGGTTACAAAGAAAAGTTGAACAACCTTCATGAAACATTGGACCTGATTCGCGCCAAATTGTGGGATGCTGAGAGACAAACAGGAACAGAGGCTGTGATGGTGTGGCTGAAACAACTAAAACATGTTGTCGATGAAGCTGATGATGTGTTAGATGAGGTTCATTACGAAATGCTAAGGTGTGCGGTAAAGAAACGAGATCGCATAGCAAGAAAGCTACCATATCTTCCGAGCTTGAAAAAGTTAACATTTCGCAGAGAAATGAGTCATAAAATCGATAATACTAGCAAAAGGTTGTTTGAGATTAATAAGCGAGCACATGATTTAGGCCTACAAAATGAACAGCCGTTTGGTGTTCCAGATAGTTTCTGTCGGGAGACTGATCCATATTTAGACCAATCCACGATTGTTGTCAGGGAAAATGACGAACTACGTATTATTCAACTTTTAACCGAATCAGGAAAAGAAGAAAAACTTACGATTGTTCCCATTGTTGGAATGGGCGGGATTGGGAAGACCACTTTGGCTAAGTCAGTTTACAATAATCAAAAAATTGAGCAACATTTTGATGTTAGAGCTTGGTTATGTGTGTCGGTTAAGATTGATATCAACAAACTGCTTGCAAAAATTTATGAATCTTTTGCTGGAAAAGAACCTAAGTCGCAAACTAGGGTGAATATAATTAAAGATCTTGAAAAGGAGTTAGGATCAAAATCTTATTTGCTAGTCATAGATGACGTTTGGGATGAAGAGAGGGCACATTGGGATGACTTTAGAAGTTGTATGCTGAAAGTGAGCGCACATAATGGAAGTAGCATTCTTGTTACTACACGAAATCTTCAAATCGGAACTTTGGCAATGAGTAAGGAGTTTATTTTTTTGCAAGGTCTTTCTGATGATCAGTGCTGGTCCATGTTTAAAGATAGAGCGTTTGTGGCAGGACAACCACCATCGCAAGAATTGGAGGATATAGGCCGTGATATTTCGAAAAAGTGTCATGGTTTGCCACTACTAGTAAATGTTATTGGAGGCATGTTGCGTAATTACGATGACAAATCGAAGTGGTTGTCCATCAAAGATAGCAAGGTTTGGGATCTAGAAGGCGAAGGGGATAGAGTTCATAACAGCTTGAAATTAAGCTTTGATAATCTTCCAAATTCTATTGTCAAGCAATGCTTTGCTTGTTGTTCCATCTTTCAAAAGGACACCGTCATGAAAGGGGAAGAACTGGTTCAACTTTGGATGGCTTTAGGATTGGTTCAAGCGGATGAGACTAGAAACAAGGAGATGGAGGATGTTGGAAATGATATTGTTGAAATTTTGGTTAGCAATTTATTGTTCCAAGATGTTAAAAGAGATGAGTACGGCTCCGTTATTGGTTGTAGCATGCATGACTTGGTGCATGATCTTTCATCATCACTTTTAGGACATGAAAGTATACGTCTCGTGCATCCAACAAGCGATGATATTGTGCGTATTCCACAGGTTAAACATCTCTCAATGTACCGACACTGCAGAAATGATGTTCGAATTGACATCTCTCTCAAAAAGATGAGTTGTGTGGTCTTCAAAGAGAATATGAGAGCTAGATCTTTGCATACATTGTTTTTTGAGGGTCAAGTTGAGAAGAACATTTCATTTCAACGTTTTAAGTGGGTGCGAATCATCAAATTCAATAGATGTAAACTATCTATCTTAGACGAGTCAATTGGAGAGTTGGTGCATTTGAGGTATCTTGATTTGTCTAATACCGCTATCGGTTATCTTCCAAAAACTATTGGTAAACTTTACCATTTGCAAACTCTTAAGGTACGTGGCTGCTCCCATCTTAGGAAATTTCCCCAAGACATTCAAAAATTGATAAGCCTGCGAGATTTCGAGTTTCCAAAAAACATTCTCATCAATAATGTGGGACGATTGACTTCTCTTCGATCATTGACTTCATTTCACGTGGGTAAAGAGAAGGGACATCAAATCCAAGAGCTAGGCCCTTTGAAACACCTGCGTCGACAGCTCCATATTTTGAATCTTGAATCAATTAGCAGCAAAGAAGAAGCTGCCCAGGCAAATTTAACCGCAAAGAAAAAATTATACAAGATTGAATTTTGTTGGAATAAAGATGAATCTGGCAACCGAAACGACAAGGATGTATTGGAAGGCTTGCAACCCCCTGCAAGTGTGAAAAGCTTGACAATCTACAACTTTTCTGGTGATAATTTTTCAGCTTGGGTAACAATGATGGCAATTGATGTGAAAGGGAGATGGACGTCCCTTAACAAGCTTGTGGAGATCAAATTATATGGATGTAGCAGGTGCCTCTCACTTCCAATGCTTAAGTACTTACCACTTCTTAGGGATCTTGTGTTAAGGAAGATGGACAACTTGACATGCTTAAGCAGTTCTTTAGGTCAAGGTGACAATGTTAATGTTACTGGATTAATGAAACCATTGTCTCCATCGCTGAGATCACTCCAACTGAGTGATATGGAAAGCCTTGAAAAATGGATAGATGCAGAAACGAACAGCTCAACAATGTTATCGCCTGTCCTTGAAAGGTTGTACATTAGTGGTTGCCCAAAGATTGTTCTCTTAGATGAAAGTTATCTCCACCCTCTTGTTTCCTTGAAGATAAAGGACTGCAAAAGGCTCGTGTCCATTAAGAGTATACAAGGCCTCACATCTCTCAAAACTTTAGCAATCCACGGTTGTCCTAGTCTTTTAGAATTACCCAATTTCCATAACCAGCGTCATTCTTTGAAGAGATTGAGTATTATCGAATGCAACAAACTGACTTCCCTGCCTCCTGGAATGTTCAACTGTTTTTCCTACTTAAGCAGGTTGAAACTTGGTGCATTCTCCAAGGAGCTACATTATTTCCCAAGTCTCCAAGGCATAGAGAGGTTGAGGAACAAGCTTCACTCGTTGGAACTGAACGGTTGGGATCATTGGGAGTCGTTACCAGAAGAAATAAAGCACCTCACTTCGCTGACTCGGTTAACCATACAGGGATTTGGAATCCGAGGATTGCCTATATGGTTAGTCAATATGTCATGTATTCAAAGTATGCTGTTCAATTCTTGCAAGGGACTAGATAAAGAAAAAATTAAACGAGTTGAAGCAAATGTTTTCTTAGATGGATCGAGAGTGTAAATACATCTTTGTTTTTTTTTATTGAGACAAAAAAGTTTTTGAATATATTTGTGGGCTGGCTAGGTTCATGTGGTTATATTACAAGTAAAACACAAATAAGGTAATGCACCCTTTTTTATTCTGATTGTATTTGAAAGGAGTCAGTCAACCAATTAGGCATAAGTTGAAAAGTTCTTGATTGGGCCCCTGTTACTAACGAAAAAAAAATATAAACATCAATCATGGTTTTTCTCCTATTTTTTTCAATAAATTTGTACCGTATTAAAGCCAGTCCAAACATATTTTAGGCCCGGGACAAAAAGAAAAAAAAACCCCTAAAGTCAGATGCAGTTTACTATTTTAGTCTCAAAAATTTGTTACTGCATATGTTTGATTAAAAAATCATCACTTCTCCATGAAATTTATTCTAGCTCGTATTTTTTTTTAAACTTCTATTATTACATAACTACAATTAAATTAGTTTTTTTGTTCCATCTTTATTGTAGATTGTTTCATACATCAACAAAAATCCTAGGTGGAAACTTTCAAGCATTCTTAAAAGAGTTTTCTAAATTGAATTAGAATATAAGTGTTTTGGACATTACTATAAATTATGACAGGTATTTGATAACTGAACTTGAGATGCTATAAATATAGAGAACAAATCATAAGCGGATACGAACACAACTACATGGGGGAGGGGGAGGGTTTGGTTTTGTTAGTGGTTGCAGATGTATAAGTGAATAAATAATGATACCAAGGATGCCAGTTTATAAATCCAGAATCAAAATAATTCTCTCTTGATACAAGGATGCCAGTTTATAAATCCAGAATCAAAATAATTCTCTCTTAATACAAGCATGCAGTTCCCTAGAATAAATTCCATAATTTCTATGGGTTATTCCAAACCATATATATTACAACTTTCATAAGTTTTTAATCGATTCAGAACAAGATCAAACCTTTAAGCTTAAGAATGAAGTTACTACCTAATCGATTCACAGATTCAGAACCGATTCAAGCTAAAAGAAACGACAATATCTCTAATAGATTCCGAACACAGATCAAACCTTTGAGACTTTATCTCCTAATCGACTTTCATCTCCTAATCTAAAACTTTCGGCATTTGATCAGAACCAGGAATGAGAAATAAATGAATTAGAAAAAAATAAAGAAATAAATAAATAATAAAAAAAAACATAAATAAAAGTAAGAATAAAAATCGGAAGCTTTCATCAAACCCATTCCTAATAGATTCAGTAATCAGATTCGAATACTTTGCAAGAGAATCAAGAGTCCTAAGCAGAGAAAGGGAAAGTGAGATGGAGATTGGGAGAAGCATAATGATATTGTTAAACCAAGAGAGAGATTTGAGCCTTATGATGACGATTCACGAGGTCACTAGGAATAATGTGGTAAATTGGTAATCGATTCACGAGATGTCGATTTGGTTCCCGCCTAATGTGAATTGTCGATTCATGAAGGCGCCCTAATTCTCGTTGCTTAGGAATTGAAATCCTAAATGAAAAAAAAAATCACCAATGGGGAGAAAGCCCGTTTCATCAATAGGATGAAAGAATTAATTCCAATTTAAGAGGAGAAAGTAAAAATTTACCAAATTACCCTTGATCCTTTCATAACAACGCTGCCATCACCACCTCTACCTTCGCCACCACCACTGCTGCCGCTGCTAACACTACCGTCACCACTACTGCCACTACCATTTCCACCATCACTGCCACCGCCACCATCGTCATCACCTCCGCCACCACCACTAACACAAACACCAATACCACCGCAATGGCAATATGACACTATTGTACAAAAAAAAAAAGAATGAAATATGACCTTATGGCATTCATGAAAGAACTAAATGCTCAAGGATCATTATTAGAATGATATTGCTAATGATATATTATCCTAAAGGGTCACACTAACAACAACTTGATACAAATAGGTTACTTATATGTAACATCCCAAAAATTCCAACAAATTTAAACTTTTTAAAACAACCAGTTTACTAATAAAAGTGTTTACAAAAACATTGTTTCCAAAACATGATTTAAAATCAGAGTCTCCCAAGATCCAACCAGTTGTAAAACCAACGAATGTGTACGGTCACGCCTTCGTCATGTCATGGTTTTCAGAAGAACCTAAAACCATAAACAAAATTGTAAGCATGAAGCTTAGTGAGTTCCCCCAAGGTACCAACACATAAACATATAACATATACAAAATAATAGCATGTACTGGGTCCACATCTAAAAAACTAGATTACCCCTAAGCCCACAGTATGAGTCTGGCTTGCCTATTAGGCCCACAACTCATATCTGACTTGCTCTTGAGCCCACATCATAAGTTTGGCTTGCCCTCAGGGCCTACAACTTATGTCTGGCTTGCTCCCTGACTTGTAACGCCCGTGTTTCGAGGCTAAGCATTGATGCGATGATGTAATAGTCTAGGTCAACCATTGTAACTCATTTTAAAGTAATAAAGATGAATTACTTGAATATTATGT